TTTGGTAAAATTTTACCGAGGCGAGTGCCTCGGTTCGCCTCATACTGGCTACGGCGGTGGTAGACATGAACAAAAACTTAAAGATTACAGTACTGACGAACGGAAATATAGGTTACCTAACCCGACAAGCATTGCAATAATATTAAGATTATAAACAACAATTTTGTGCAACCTTTGGTCAGTCATGGTATCACTACAACAGGTGCTATACCGAGACGGGGACTGTCTGGGATGCGGTATCAACTTCATGGATTTCAAAATCCAATAAAAGCATTTTACATTATTAGCTTGTTCATAAATTCCAAATTTAAACCTTACTATAAAGAATCAGGGGGAAATGTAAATTCCACTCGAAATTTGCCCAGACAAATTTCTTTTGGTGATAATATTTCGCAAACCCACTGCCAGACAGGTGCTATTGACTCAGACAATACTTTTAACGCCGACAAAAAATCTAAATTAATAATCAGTTCCCAAATTGAAAAAGAATTTCCATCAAAGAAATGGGTTAGACATCTCCCAGATTAAAAGCAGCAACAAAGTAACGATAAATTCTTTACAAGACTGGCTGAACTTCAAATTTTCATTTTGGTTTTTCACATATCTATTCAATTGCTAGCCACTTTCTTCAGGGAAGGATTCAAGTTATAATTTGAAGTAATTTTTACGTATCCCTACTAAAATTAATTCTTCACTTAATTCAGAACCCCACATGTCTATTACTTTTACATCCGATTTGATAAAACTGCTTATTTTTAGTCGACATCCTCGGCGGACTACTCCGCCTTACCAGACGGCTTGCCTTACCTGAAAGCTGATTTAATAACTTCCAAGTTCCACTTCTACTCCGTTGCAGTTAAATTTCTGTATACGTAACTACAAAATTAGCCAAACTACGACGTTAATTCTGCGATAAAAACACGCCACCAATGATACAAGTCTGATGTTTGACCGCCTTTTCCGAGAAAACCGCACCACATTTCTCGTGTCATTTCTGGGGAAGCCCGTTTTTTTAGTCACGCCAGTATGTCACGCGATGCTAAAGAACCAGTAAAATACCACAGAGGGTCTGGATTGGGAGGACACGTGAGGACGGGGTACGAACGTCAGTTATCAGCCACAATTTTGGTCAATAATCAGTTACCAGTTAATTTTTGTGTCATTTGTCAGTTAACTGCTTTTTAAAAGTAAACTAAGTCGCTTGAAAAAACCTTCATTTCAAACCAAGTTGCATCTGGTGATTCGTATGATGGACCGTAAAATAACGAAACTAGAGCCTCGGAGCTTAAATGTAAATGTTATATACGGAGGGGCCTATTATTGAACAAAAATTTGCATCAAAATCCGCTGTGTTTATGGCTCTATCAATTTCGAGTGTGTCCATCGCTCAGGGCATTTCTCCTTTTTTGCCCACGACTACGATAGGACCGGCAGATTCGTAAAAAACCAGTAAGCTAAAAATCGCAAATTCACGTAGAAACTTAATGCTAATGGCAGAAATCGGTAATAACTTTAGTACCCGGGGGGGGGGGGGGTATTTTTGGGATTTTTGGGGGGGGGTGGGGCCCTGGGGCCCGGGGAACCCTAAACTATAACAGGACTGGTTCCGCTGAATTTTTCTTCCCCTATCCAAAGGTAAACCCCCCAACCCCCCCTACCCTACATTCGCTTTTCCCTTTCTTAGGTAAAA